TACTTGTACGATCTTAAGGTGAATCTTCAGCACCAGTGGAACATGGCAATAGGTGCGAACGATCGTGACATTTGTATAAGTGATCCGTCTTTCTTGTTAGAAAACCTTGTCTCCTGATGTTATACCTGTGGTCAAGAATTGCCCGTTTTGCGTTTTGAAAAGAATTAGTCAGATCCATCTTACATATGATTTTCACGATTTGTATCTGGCATTGTGAGGGCGCTGTTCATTCATAGAGCTATATTAAATTATTAAATTGCAGAGATTTAGAATTCATGCGTGTTTATGTACAGCATAACAAATATAAGAACTGGGTCTACTCAAATTGTCCATCTTAGTTTGTGCACAAAACATGGATGTGCCCAGCAGGCTTCACCTTGCACAGCAATTAATCAGCGCTCTAGTAATAAATTATGCAGTCGTGAATTTCTTGCTGAACCATGACATGATGAACTACCGTACACAGCCAGCACCAATAGGCACTATTGGGACGGTGCTTTACCGAGTTTCATCAGCGAACAATGGTGGAGTCTGAAATGCTAAAGGTGATAAAGCTCGCTTGGTTTGCTGGCGATATCGTTGTTGGCAGTGATGTATGGCGGTGTGAAAGGGATTATTGAATCACAGGGTTACGCTGCCAACAAAATTGGAACTAATGACGTGCGCACAAACGTCGCTCAGCGCGAAGCGATTCTAAAAAAGTGTGAATTTAGCAGCCACTGAAGGTAATTTTGTGAAACCACGCGGCAACGTCAAAGGAGGACTTCCTCTCTGGCAAGAGACACTGTTAATATAAAAGGGGTCTTGCGTATACCCTGGCTTGACAGCAACACTGCCTCTGATGTACCGTCAACTGGAGCGTACCCAGCAAATACTTGCCCCGGAAGAGGAGATCAGAAATTGGAAGTGTATCTTTCGTCTTTTGTGCGACGTGGTATACTGAAATGCTGGATGTTTGCAAACTTCGAGTGCTATCTTTCCCTTTCGTCTTGTGATGTTTGTATCCTGCCCAACGCGCTATTTCACTAGAAGTGTCCACATAGCAAAAGTCTGCGCCTGTTTACAGTGTCTTTCATCTAATTGGGTACCACCAGACAATCTGCCCGCCATTATCCGTTCTTTTCATTCCGAGGCTAAGATAAAGTCTATAGGCCTACGGTAAGTTCCTGTTTAAGTTGAATGTAACTCATCAACGTTCCAAAACCAGAGTGTATCGTTCACCTCCACCCTGCAGAGTAAGCATGGCGGCAGAGTCCGGAGTAGGTGGGCTTTCAATCGATGATAATGGTACGATATCCAACTCAAGGAGGGAAGGTGAGGAAGGGGACGTGTTTGTGGAGATGCATCCTGTCTGGATCGCCTTCATGTGCGTCTTTTACATCGTGGTGGGATTCTTCGGCGTCTTTGGCAACTGCATAGCCTTGGTCGCCCTGGCCGCCACCCCAAAGCTCCGTAACACCTGCACGGCGCTCATCGGTAACCTCTGCGCGACCGACCTGATCACCGCCATCCAGCTGCTCTTCCTGATGACTCCGACGCAGCTGAATAAGGGTTTCCCCGAGAACTGGGCCCTGTGCAAGTTCATGGTGTACCTACCGACCACGACCTATAGCGTGTCGCTCACCACACTCATGTTCATCGCTGTCAACAGGTATTTACTGATCACGCGGCCACGGACCTGCTTCAGGACCTGCTGTGGTAGCAAACAGGTGGCCGTACACATTGCTTTGATCTGGTTCATCAATTTTGTGGTCGTCGTGTTATCAGCTTTTACAGGCGTTAGCCCTGCAGTATACGACCGCGAAGGGCAGGGCTGCTACGCTGAAACTAACTGGTGGCTCGGGACCATCACGCTGTCCTTCTATGTGGTCATTCCCGCTTTCGTAGTCGTGCCGTTACTTTACGGGTTGACCGTGTACGCCGTAAGAGCCAGTCACCGGCGGGTGCACGCCCGAAACACAACCGGCGAGCATGCATCGGCGGCCCTGTCGGTTCAGGGCAGCGACACCAGGGTTATCCCGTCGTTATCCAACAACCAGAACGTTACGGCCCCGCATCCCCACCAAATCAGCAAGCGAGAGATCAACTTCACCAAGGTCCCCATCCTGATTTTCACCGTCTTTGCCGTCTGTTGGATGCCGCAGCTTATCTACCACATTGGAAGCCGCTTCGTGAAGGTGTCTGTCTATTACCGCAAGGTGGCATTGCTGTTCATCTGGGCCAACTCGGCCATCAATCCGTATCTATATGCGTGGACCAACCGGAATTTTAGGCAGGCATACAAGAGGATCCTGAAAAATTGTAAGAGGAGACCCTAAACTCTAGGTTTGTTGTAGACTCAGACGATCTAATTTATATGCAGTTTGAGGTATAGGTCTTTACAGGAGACAGAAATGGTTAGCATGCTTTAAGAACTTGAAAGGTATTACACGGTATAAAAATAATATCCTACTCAGCCGGTACTTCGTACCCTATTACTAAGTCCTGAACTTCATTTTGAACAAGCAATGGCTTGCAGAAGAATAAAGGGACATTTTCCAATGCAAGGCTTCATAAACATACACCAGTTTTGCTCTCAAATCCCTTTCCAAAGTAAAGCTGAAATATACGGTGACGTAAAGTAGGGATTAGGATAAGTTAACGAGGAAGCTATACAGTGTCGGATGACTTACAGCTTCATATTAAGAAAGCAGAACACAAGTGTTTGAGCACACATACGGAATAGGTATGCACGAACTCCACCGATATATACGCCAAGAACTTAACAGCATCAATTCCGAACAAATGTTTCGTCATTTCTGGTATAGAGATTCATATGAGACACTCAGATTTAATAATCCTAAAAAAAACACTGTAACTCCGTCCATACTGTCTAGTTAACTTTGCCAGGCTTGTTCTTTCACTAACCTCGTATTTTGACACACTGTGTTGGACTCGAAAAAGGACTTCATTGCTTCACATATTGTACGCAACAACATTCTCACTCCGGTCAATTTTGACGGAACTCAAACTGCCTTGGTAACAAACGGATGATAATTGTTGCAATCCAGACTAACATCAATGTAAGGCTAAGACCCCCCGCCCCATATAGAGCGCCGAAGTGACTACGTCACACGCACACTTATGTGTGTAAAAGGTAGCAGCGAGAGTACCAGCGCTTGAACCAACGCGCGCTTACTTCATTCGTTTGTAGGGCATCTACTGGTTCTAAATGACGTCACATTCGGTACTCTCTGGCCGAGTTCGGGCGGCTTGTTCCCGTATGTTCCCGAACAGTTCGATTTCTTGTTCGCCGGTCGGCCGCTCGAACGCCGGGAACAAACAACTGGTTATCGCTGGTCGTTAGTGACAAGCAAGATTCAACATGGCGGCGTCCATGCAGGCTACGTTATTCGAGAGTTAATGTCTGGATGGGCTGAATTTTTTTCAATGTAAACAGGAACATTCATTTCTGTGTTACGGAAAATAATTATTGTTAATGTTGCAAAACTTCCCATTTTCTATGGCTTTGGGAGCCATCTCTCTACTTTTGCAGCTGTTCAAAAAGTCAGAATCTCACGAGTTTTCCGTGTAACCCTGACGAGGAGGTGGTGTGTGATCCTCTTCCGAGAACAGCGTTCTTGAGTCATGTTCCCGCCGTTCGAGCGAGAGAACAAGAAACCCGTGTCAAGAACAGGCCGCCCGAACTCGACCTATAAGTCTAAGCTCGTAGCAAAAATAAAATTCAGAAAAAGGAAAGAAGCAAAAAATCTCTTGAGGTTAATATACTATACGGGTAGGGTCCTCTTTGGTATGTGTTTTACAGTCAAAGTAAAGTGTACTGTTTTGCACTTCAAAGGTCCCAGTATCATGGGGAACTTTGTTTAGGATCTGTCTGTATACGTTCTTTGTGCTTATACCGATCAAACGTACTATGAAGAATCCAATTCACTGTCGTGATCGAGGGTTTCATGTTTTAAACATTTCACGGTGAAGATTTTTTGCCGTTCTTGTACTGCAATGTGAATCTGAGGTTATTGAACAGTGATTGCATTAGTGTATCTGAGCTTGAAGTTGTGCACAATGTTTACTGCACATTTAAACAAAGTATTCTGTTCTTATAGTGAAGCCTAGCCTGCAATCCAATTTTTTTTCTTAGTTTTCTTTAAATAATCTCTCTAGACCCCTTCCCCCCTTAGCACGTTTAAAGTTAAACGAATTTTTAAAATGGCTTATTTCCTTGTTGGCTATGTTCTTCGTTCTGTTTTTTTTCGGGGAAGGGAGCATACGCGGAACTCAGTCTCTTCTTATGAACGGTTTGTATACTGTGAGAATGGTGAGAGCAGACTCACGGATGGCCCCTTAGCCTAAAAATAGAAGAGATATAAATGTGTCAGCACGGTGTGTTTGCATTCACTGATGTACGCGCCACTGCCTACCACACGCCCCCGCAAAAAATTATACCCATGGACCCGACTTCTTGTATCTCTTTGTGTCAGCACAAAAGCGGAAAAAAATTAATGTCCGGCACTGAAATAAAAGCTCGGTGTTTACTCTACGCTTTAGGCTCCGAGATTAAAAATAACATATAAAAGCGACTCCATATTAAAATGGAGTCGAGTCATAAATGGCACGTGAAACGGTGTGCTTTATAAAATTATAAAGCAATTTGCAGGATCCACGTGAGCCAGTGCCATGCCTCGCGCTCTATTTTTTTTTTCATTCTGAAAATGCTGTATTATCAATAATGCATTTCCACCGTGCTCAGTAATTCGAAACTACCTTAAACAACCGAGCCTTGATTTGAAGTCTGATAAATGAAACTGATTAATATTTTCGTGATCTTTTGAAGTTTGACGATCCTAAAGATATGGTGTCTTGTCGGAGGGATAAGAGCGAAGTTCCAAAGGAACTCTTGTTGTCGAGTATGTCACTGTTCTGCAATGCTTGCAAAGATCATGCAGATAATGTCGTTCATCTGAAATCCTTGGGAGGCACTTGTCGCAAGCGGATTATTAGCAGAGCAGGATTTATGACCTTCGCCAATAACCGGGCACCTGGGAAGGAATATGCACATAAAGCGACCCTACATTAAATCGCTCACATCAAAGCGCAATTTATGGTGATGAATATGTGGCGCTTGCCGATTCTGTGCTGTTAGGTCCAGGTCATGGCTGGGGTGAGTGGGGGGACGGGGTAAAATGGATTTTGCTGTCCAGAATTGACTGTCCAATTTTTAGTCTGGAGTATTACCATGTTTGGACAGCCTATTACGTTACAATCTCGTGCAATCTGACCAATCACAAGGCTTGTTCAAGCAGCCTGCAACGGGTTGCATGGGTGTTTCTGGGTTACAAGGTGCTTTTCTTACATGTTGAAGCATATGGAGCAAAAACAATTACAATTACCAAAAATTTGATTGGCTGTGCACAAAAAAAACTGACTTCAAATAAAAACTAGAAGTTCTAAAACACGTTTGTACCGATGGGATTACAAATTGGTCGTTGCCAACTTGAGTAATATTCAAAACTGAATTTTGACAAAAATTGCTTGCAGTATAGGAAAGGTCACTGTGCTCATATGTGGTAATACTCGAGACCGATTTTTCATCGTTGAACGAATGCTCAACCCCCCACCAAAAAAGGGGGTGGCAGCACCGTTTGTAAAATGTTGGCTCTTTCAATCACTTGAAAACAAAAACAAAAAAAGGAAAAACCAAACCAAAATACGAACAAACCCAACCAACCAACCAACCGAACAAACAAAACCATAAAGAGCAAAGAAAGATTAGTTATGTGTCTTCTGGATGGGCAACGTACCCCCCCCCCCCCCGCTTGATACACCAGTCTTACGATGCCAATGTGGGAACTGATTTGGGAGATTTCAGTTGCCGGCATGATTGACGTTTTTCAAAGTGACTTTGTGATAAATTCTGCAGGCGTTGCTTTATGTTTAAACAATTACGCCGTGATCGGCAGAGCGTGCACCAAACCTAACGGATAGCCGTACGGATTGCGTCAAAAGTGAGGGGTGACTGAGGGGAAGCGTTCGCACAGTTTGTCAGCTGTGATCACTGTAGCTTTGCACAGGAGATTTTCTTGTTGTGAACTTCGACGAAAAAATCCTAGAATGCTGAGAAGCAGTAACTCTGCAAAATTGAGATATTGAGCTTTCCGCGGTAGCGTCGTCACTGATATTCTTCACATTATAATCTGCATAACCCGTTACTTTTTTCAAAATAATTTGAAGTCTTGAAGTAAAAGAATGCCGTTTGTCTAACTTTTCAGAAATTGTAAATTATGCAGATCAGTTTTGCACAGTGAAATTTCTAAATGGCTACAAAGCTCATTTCCTGAGACGATGTTATGAGCTTTTTTAACAGGGATAAAAAAGGACATATTGAACAATACCCGAGTATTGCATCTGGTATAAAACCCAAACCCATTGTAGACATGCATGTACATGCTCACGTTTGTTATCAGTAGACCTTTCTATATGAATATAATTCTAAAACGGAGGTTATTTCATTAAGAATTTCAGTAAAATAGTAAAACTAGCAGTGTGAAAACGAACTAGATGAGGACATGGCATGTAAATTCAATCATCGTGTGCGCACGTAGTTGTTATGGGCTTCAGAACTGCCACGCGTGGTCCATCGTTTCACTAAATTTTATCTATTATATGAGTGTGAACACACTAATCCAGTGTCGTGAAAATCGCGCACATTTGCTCTCTGTTAGTTGTAGTTAAGCTGGCGACTGATGTCGACACCAAAGTTCTTTGCTATAGACCTTGATTATAAGGGCATAAAAACTTAACACCAGAAAATGCATGATTTGTTTCCTGAGTACCACACCTGGAAATGTTTATGAAAAAAAATTAGGGATTGATAAAAGAAGAAAAATGTGCGTTTCAATAAGCGATATAAATATGGATGAGCAATATGTAAGCTTCCGGACTCTTTTGTCATGACCAGGAGGCAAAACAAACTTATGAAACTTTATACAATACCTACATGAATCCCTGCATATCATCTGATTGGTGGATAATTAAATTATTTGTTCAACATGTATCATTCCACTGCGTAGCGTTGAATAGAACTTCATTTCACTTGCCTGGTTAACGCCCTAATTTCCTATGTATATTTCACTCCCAATAAGGAAGAGCTTAAATAATGCAGGGAGGGAACCAGTCTAACTTTACACGGAACTATCAATGGGTGGTGCTTCAGACACAAATCATTTTCAACGTTGTTAGCTGACGTAATGCGTGAGGACCGTTAAGACTGTGTCTGCCAACAGAAGAACAGAAGAAGATTTATGCAGGTTTCATGAATGTTTCACATTAACATTCGCATGTTCCCATAAATATTCATCTATCACTTCATGAAATTATTCTTGCCATTGCACTCATGATAATTTATTTTCTTTAAATAATACCTGATACAGTATACCTTAAATTAAATGTTGTGTTGCCTGTGAAAAAGTATCAGAACTTAACCTGACGTCTCGTTCAATCTTACATGCTCGTATATACTTGTATATATCTTATTTGGAGATCGTTTAAAACCAAAAATGAATGAGTAACAGGAGCCTTCATTCAGTCACCTCATGAAATTATGACTACCATTGCAGTCACGAGAAATCATAATTTTGTACATTACATCCCGTATGATAATGCTGCTGTTTGAGTTTGATGCCCAGATTTCCACAAAGGACATAATGGGCTCCAGAGGTCGCTATTTGGTCTAACCATTCAGAGCATAGTGCTGCGACATGAGTGTCTCAGTTGTTGGAACCAAAATGGTGGATTATGCGTCAGTGCACGAGGACAATTTTGTTCACAGGAGCTGCACGCTGTACTACCCAGATAATGAACAGCCATTTTGGATCGAAAGACTGAGGTTCAGTGTTGTATTCGAGTCCATCACAAGTCCCTTCACAAGTACCTTCACAAGGACAGTCATAAGTAAAGATGAACAATGACAAAGGAATGCTTTTGTCACACTTCATTTGAATAGCTTGTGAATTGGCTTAAGACTGGATGACTTCTGATGGACTCGAATACAACACTGCTGAAGTTTGTGCTACCCCATTCAGAGCTGTATATAAACCCGTAGACATCTTACAAGCGTACACCGTACCGCCCTAGAAAATTCAGTAGATTGGATTGTTTACTTTTCATAGTTTTTAATTTGTATATAAAAATTGCGTATCCACGTGTTTCCAGCAGTGAACACAAGCCATCATGCTGTGAGTATGCATCATTCATTACCCTCACCAAAGACTAAATGCCATTTTGTAGGAAACGCACAAAAGAGCGCAATCCGA